TGTTACCTATGTGGGAAAAAGGTAAACACTGAGCAGAAGAAACTTCCTATTAAATGCAGACATAAATATCATTATGTTAGGACTATTGAGCATTTAGTTGAGATTATAAAAAAATGTGAAAGTAGGAATGACGAATGGGGTAAAAAAGTACATACGCGCATAATTAATGTCAAAGATCTCCCCGCAGAAGATGCAATATACCACCATGACTGTTCTCAAAATTTCTTTTCCAATCATGGCAAATCCTCATCATGTAGCCGAGGAAGACCAGTAGATTCTACAAAGCAGGAAGCTTTTTCTAAGCTTTGTAGTTATTTAGAAGACAATGACGAGTGCCAATACTCTATGTCTGATATTAAAGACCTAATTCATTCCATGTATGAAGGTGAACTGGTAAATGAGGAAATATACACATCAAAACATCTGAAATCAAAATTACTCGAATATTTTGGAGAACGATTGATAATTACTGAGAATCCAGGACAAATTACAGTTCTTACATTAAAGGATACTGCTTTAAAAATCTTACATGATTCATGGTATTTCTGACCGCAAAACTATCGAAAAAGAAGAACGATTGAGAATTGTTAAAACAGCTGCAGCAATCTGTAGGGAAGATACAAGAGCCCAAGTGCATATTATAAATAAATATCCGTCAATATCAAGTTTTACTTGCGATAACGTTCGAGCTCAAGTTCCAGAAACAGTTCAGTGTTTTACAAACGAATATCTAAGATTGAAAAAACCATCGGCTAGAAATCTAATCCAGCGCGCTGGATTATCCATCGAACAAGCTATGGTAGCTAGTTGCAGACCTCGGTCCTTTCTTTCTCCAGTACTTATAGGTGTCGGGTTCTACGTTTACAAAAAACATGGATCCAAGCAGCTCATTGATCTTTTAAGTAATCTTGGAATCTCCGCGAGTTACACTGAAGTAAGACGATTTGAGTATTCCCTCCTTGCGTCTATGCAAACTTCAAAGTTGTCTGATATTGATCAATATGTACAATTTGCATTTGATAATGCTGATTTCAATATAAGGACTCTTGATGGGCACGGTACATTTCATAGTATGGGTGGCATGAAGTGTTATACTCCTAAAAGTCATCACGATATCTCAGTTTCCGTACCTAGTTGTACCAAACATTTCGGACATTGTTTCTTCTGGAAACATTAATATTAAGTGGTATAAGCGTCCACAGGAAACTGCTCTAAAAAAAATTATTATTAGAGATGTTTTTTCAAATACCGATTTCTGTAGTAGCACCATAAATGGAAGAGCTTTGAATCTTGTGTGGATGGCAGGAAAATGGCTTAGAGTTCCTAGAGCGCCATCTTGGTCAGGGTACATGCAGTCATTGTACAGTCAATGTGGGCATTTTGAAATGAGTAGCGTTCATGCAATTCCTTTTATTAACTTAGATCCAGGAAACATGAACACAATTTATACAGCTCTTAAATTTGCTGCAGATGAGTGTCTTAAGCTGAAACAGGGTAGCTGTTTGATCACTTTCGACCAACCCTTATATATTAAGGCTGTTGAGATCGTTGCAACAAAATCCTGTGACAGTGGCGAGCTATCTATAGTTACTGTGAGACTTGGTGGCTTCCACTTGTTAATGTCATTTCTGGGATCTATTGGATACATCATGTCTGGCAGTGGACTTGATGATTTATGGGCACTAATCTACGCTAAGGCATCTATTCCGCATATGCTATCAGGGCACGCCTACAGTAGGGCTCTGAGGGCTCATTTCATCACTCAGTTGGCTCTAGGAGTTTTGCTTCTTGAAAAAGCGCCACATGTGAAAGATACGGAAAATGTCTTAAAAGATTTCTATTGTGGACTTCTTTCTCTCAGTGTTTTCTTAGAAAATGTTTCTTCATCTAGTGTTGTTAGCCGGGCTCTCAAAGCTTTGGAGGAGGAATGTAACAATGCTAGCATGATAAGTCGTACAGGCAAGTTGTGGATACAGTATTTTCATCAAGTAGCCCTTGTGCGGGACTACATTCGAGCAGAAAAAACGGGGGATTGGGCTCTTCATCTTCATTGTGTTCGCTGCATGCTTCCATATTTCCATGCTGCTGG